TATAGTTTATGTTAATTTATATTTTCCAATACCTACTTAAACCTCGGATAGAAAATTAATAACCCGGTTTAAAAGCTTAAGGGCCTATGAAGAGGTCTTTGGCTTTGCGGGGATATTATATTAAGCCCCCGCTGCCTCTATCGGCTTTTTACACGTCATCAATTTTACCTCAAAGCACCCTCCATCTTCCTTAAAATGGAAATTTGACAAGCCAGTATCGTTGACTAAGTATTTTACAAAAGTAGATTTTGTTTTCATTTTGATAAATCATTTTTAAGCAAATTTATCTGTCTTTTATTTTTTATTTGAACATCTAAAATTACCATGGGAATTATCAACTAGGATGCTTCACTTGTGCTGTAGACTAAAATTTAAGTATCTATATCAAATATAAATTCATGAGATCCTAGTACTCTTAACCGACTGGTGGATATCATTGTTATGATAAGTCATATAAAAATATTGTACGATCTCTTTTTAACAAAGCCTTTTAAATCATTGAGATTATAACAAATTACACGGCAATATGTAAAATGGTAACGTAATCTATTTGATCAGGGCATTAACAGCACATTTATCACATACGAGAGTGATTTATGACCAATAGATAGGCGTACAAATTACGAGAATTTTAATCGTCGGTGGCTCAGGGGTTTAAGCACTAGACTTGAAATCTACAGGTCTTGGGTTGGAATCCCGCCATGTAACAATGTGATTTTCATATGTGCATAATTTACCCTACCTTCTTACGGTGAAGGAAAACATCGTGATGCAACCTATCATGTGTGAAGTCAACCAACCCTCACATGGCCAGCGTGGTTGACTATGCCCTAGTCACCCTAACTTAGGGTAGGCTACGAGCCCCTCGGTGGGGAAGTATATTGAGCTGGTGATGATGATGATGATGATGATGATGATGATGATGATGTTTTTATTACTCGCTTTGGTACTTTTAACATTGCTTGAATAAATGCTTTGCTTAATTTGTAATACAAGACACTATAAAAAATACAAGATGATATACTAGTTGAAGAAGTACTTTTGCATGCAAAAGGCCTAGTTTTATTCCTGTGGGAATGGGAAGATGAGTTGGCGGAGAATGTGACGTCTTTCGATTCGGGGAAAATATCTTCTTTCTGTGTCCCTCTGTTGATTAAAATGTTAACATGATTTGTTCAATTGAAATTGTTAAAAGGTAACCAACGCAACTGTAAATGAAAATTCAACTCATATTATAAAAATCGTATAGTTCTAATTACATCTCTCTCATTTTACTTCTTTTGTGAAATATTTTCTATCACATACTAACTTATAAATTTCACTTACGCTGTTTTGTTTTATACGATCCAAGACGTGATAGATCACGATTCAATTCAATCTCAAACCAATGTCATTGTAGAAGAAAAAAAAAAAAACAAATTTTCTGCTGGCAAATCTACTACTTTCCCACAGAACAACCCTTTGACACTTCTTGAGGTTATTTCAAAATCTTCTCCACTCGTATTCCACTGACGGCGTTTCTTTTGAGCTTTTATTGTGTTATTAATTTTTACTCTCTCAGGATTTAAGTGTTTCAAAGAGTTTTTCTGTGTATCGCATTTACGAGTATAAATTTAGTTGGCATCGTCATTAATAGATGCAGATATGTTTAGAAAGACTGGAATCCGTATTTCTTCACAGAAAATACAATTTTAAATATTTAACATCTACGTCCAATAGCATACAATTCCACTATACCCTCTTCAACAATACACACAAAGAGTTTACCGAACGTGTATGTGCTAAGCCTTTCTTGAGTTTTCTTTTGGAGAAAGATGGTCTGTCTTTTAAACTACTGTTCCATATTTAATGCAAATCGTTTTATTTACAGTATCTTCTTATATCAAGGTTAAAAGATTTATCATAAACCTAGGTTTCGCCCGCGACTCCGTTCGCGTGGAATTAAAAAAAAACAAAAGGGAGTAGCATATGTGCTCTTCCAGACTATCCTTTATGTCCATTCATGATCCAGTCAGCTGTTTAGTCTACAAACTCTAACAAACATCCATCCATCCATCCATCTAAACTTTCGTATTTATAATATTAGTAAGATTATTTTATCTGTGCTACAGAACACGAATCGAGATCAAAGCGAGCGTTAGGATTAATTAATTAATATCAACGCATCAGATAATGGAACGGGGTTTTAAGTCCCGCGGGCGTTTTCACACACAGTGATACATTTGGTTAAATATTTAGATACGAGATTGGTTTTAAACTAATTTACGCATAAAATAGTGATATGTAAACCAATAGAAGGATTTTCTTTTTCACTTATGAACTAAAAGCTTTCGCCCGCGACTCCGTCCGCTTGGTATTAAAAAAAATGTAAGTAGCCTATGTGTTACTCTATATGTTGTGTCCATACTCTGCTCTACATGTATGCCAAATTTCATCCAGATCCTTTGAGCCGTTTAGGCTACAAACTCTAACAAACATCCAAGATTAGATTTTCTTTATATTATTAATTAAAACATAGTAAAAGAATTTTTGTAATTCACTTTTTCACTGTTACTTATGGTGTTGTAACTAAGTTAATGTAGTATCATCGAAATGTTTTTAATTAAAGTTGATATAATCTTCAATAATATCATTCGTATATAAACTTGTAAAGGTAAACTACACTTTAATAACGTATATCTCAGGGTTGTAAATTAAAGGTGCTTATTCTTCATCCACGATCAACATTGCCCAAATTAATTTCGCCTTCACGAGCGGCATAACCTCGACATTGTAAAAATTTGGTAACATTGTAAATATTTCTATCTATTAAAGGCAAAAATTATAATCATACGATAAACATATTGTTATAATTTCAATTCGTTTTCATAACGACTAGCTGTTCCAGTGCGCCTTCATCCGCATGAAATATCAAAATTCAAATGCACAAACAACAATTGCTTCCTTGATGTTGGCAGCTTGTAGTCCCTTTCGAATGTAAAGTTTTTTTTCAATTTATTTACCCCATAAGTTTAATCGCGTGAAAATATATAGCCTAAAGCGTTTCGTAAGTGTAGAGATTTTTATTTATGAAAGAATTTTTCAAAAATATGCCATGATTGCTGACATCTTACGCTACAAAGTAGTGTGTGTTTACGCTTTATTATATTAATATAGATTAGATTTTTTGTATATCATGTTTTAAGTACACATTAAGAAAGTTATCTGTATTCATGGCTCCTTTAATATGGGAAAACCTAAGGAGAGAAGGATAAGCAGAATACAGACTATAAATAAAACAAAATATAAATTATTTGTAATATCGAGTTTTTAAATAAATAAATAATCCAATAAAAATGACCTCAATTGTAATGCTAATATATAAAGAGACAAAAAGTAATTCTCATATATATGTCTTCGCTTTATATGCTTTTTTTCTGTTGTACATTTTTTGATAAAACAAAAATCCAGCCATTAGCGTCACGTGACGTCAGGTGTTTTAAATAACCCCACAAAAGCGTCGAGTGGTACTGCGACGGACATTTAGTGTACAGTCGCGTACTAACGCGTGAAAAACAATGACCGTCCAATATACGATGTATTTTTGAAATCACCGAACCAGAAATAAACTAATTCATAACACCTGAAATAAATACTTTTGATTTGCAATATACAAGACTTGTATTCTACAAATCTACCATATGGTTATAAAAGAATTGAAAAATCATGATCTCAAATCAATTTGTAAATAATGATAAAATTTCGTCGTACGTAATGTTGAAAAATCACTATATCACACACTAGCTGTTGCTCGCGACTTCGGCCACGTGAAAAATTAAAAAAAAATATTTCCATTGTTATACACAGATAAATTACCCTTTTTAACGGTGAAAGAATTTTTAAAATCGGCCCAGTAGTTTTTGAGTTATAACAATACATACAAAAATACAAATCTTTACTCTTTATGATATTACAACATACATTTCCTATTTAAAATCAAACTAATATTATAAATGCGAAAGTTTAGATGGGTGGATGGATGTTTCTTACAGTTTGTAGGTTAACGGCTGATTTCGATGAAATTTGGTATAGATATAGAGAATAGCCTAGACGAACACATATGCTACTCACTTTTATTTTTTCTTTAATTCCACGCGGACGTAGTCGCGGATGAAAGCTAGTAATTTGATAAAATTGTACTACGCTTAAATTGGCAGGAAGTTTCAAACAAGACGATTTTTTGCTCTATTTATTTACAATTAATAACTTTGTAAAATGTAAATTAGTACGGCGGAGGAATAATAAAATGGCTGTGTTATTTTCTAGTAAATGTATTTTTTAATGTAATTATACTACACAATGAAATACAAAGGATGTCGCTCGATGGAAAATTTAATTTAAACTACAAATTAGCCTGGGTTCTGTTTACTTGGTTATATATTATTTTCTTAGTTGGAGCACTACAACTTGATTAATTTAAATCACTTACATTTTGTTGAAATTCGTACTTATGTACATAATTATGAAACTACTAGCTGTTCCCGTGCGACTTCATCCGCATAAAATTATGAATATTTTATTTTATTGTTTACATGTGTCAAATTATCAATTGAAAATGTCAAAATGACATGACGATGACAAACCATGGCAACCTTGCTTCTTGATGTTGGCAGCAACTTACGGTCTCTTTCCCACATTAGGGTTTTTATCCAAAATATTTACCCCCTGAGTTTAATGGCGTGAAAATATTTAGCCTAAAGCGTAACGTTAGTGTAGGGCTTTTTATTAAAAAAAGAATTATTCAAAAATATGTTGTAATTGCTGACATCTTAGGCAACAAAGAAGTGTGTGTTTACGCTTTATTATAATAGTATAGATTAACATTAAAAAAAATCAATCGTCTTCTAAAAGCATGAGGAGTGTCAGGTTTGAGAAAAAAATACATCACTTGACCTAAATAACGAACGTAATGAAGTTAAAGAATTTACTTAATCTTACTAACAAGTTACTGTATTCCCCAGGTCTCACAGCGCAGTCCGAAAGTAAGCTACACATTTTAAGCATGTTTTGAATAGCCTTACAAAGTACACAGACTATAGACATAATAAACATTCACTTAGAACCTTATTTACAATATAGTAGGAGACCCCTTTTAGTTTAGTACAGAAGTATTTTTAATACACTTAGTAGCATATCGATACGGTGTGTTTATCAAGTCAACCCATCGTTGTCCCAGTTTGTACGATATTGATGGTAAATCTTAACACATGTGCTATCGTTTGCAACTAAGTATATATCTTCTTAGACATTTACTACGGACTGACTAATTTCCTTTACAATTCATCACACATAGCATGACGTAGATATAAACGATAGAATAAAATTCTTCATCTCTCGAAAATCCTAGAAATTACTTCCAATACACGTATGGTTTTTTCTAATTATATGTAGTTTTCATACACAGTATAATGCTATCAACAATTAAAAATTAAATTAGAATCTTGAAATGTCCTTTAACTTTGTGTAGTACATTTTAGTCGTAAGATCTAAGCAAAGAAGCTATTCTGTCAGATTGCATCAGACAATTTTTAGAGTTTTAAATTAATATCTTAGTTTGGGTATCGATTGAATGAAATAAGAAATTAGATAGAAGATTACAATAAATTAAAGGTAAGTATATTTTTTACAACATTCTAAAATTACTATTACAACAGCTAGTAGATGTTTCATATTAAAATCACATAGATGTATTAGAAAATAACGCGATAAATATAAAAGAATTTTGTAAAACTCGCATAACATCTATTTAAAAAAATAGACTCGAAAACAAAAACATGTCGAGAGCAGTTGTTACAAAAAATATTCAACATGTCAGCACTGCAAACAAAAACTTTAAATATTGTTATGTACCTAGGAAATATTTTAACTACATTATTTTTGTTGTTTTCACATATTTTCAAAATTAAGTTTAATTCAATTAAAATTTAAACACAACCTTGCTCTCATAAGCCACAGTAAATTAACACATCCTCCATTTATGGCGTTAAAACAAGTCGCCTAATTCATGGCTTCATTTCAAGCTTCGGGTCGAACCCTTTTTTCAAATTTACGACGCAATTAAACGCGTTCTCGTATAATTTTCCTAACAATTTTTACGACTGAAATGAACAGCAATGTTGTTTTTAGCTTATTACGTCTTTCCTAGAAAGATCCTTGGTATTGCGATTGTTACAAGTAAAGGGTAAGGTAACAAATAATAATTTTCAAAAAGTCCTTTACAAAAAATCGTTATCAATAGGTTTGCGATGCTTTATAATGCTGTTTTCTATAAATGAAAAGACCTGAAAGTACGATGACCAAAAAAACAAGAAGACAGAGAAGAAGAGAACCTTTATTTGTCTACATAAAATAGACATCTTTAATAGTGTTTAGAGACTTAAATTCTATTAACACTTATAAAGAGTGTAGAAAAGTCTATTTGCACGTGGAGTATTTTTTCCACATAGTTTTTTTTTTTTTCATTTATTTGGGTAAAAGAACAATAACACAAGAAAAAAAATATACAGTACAATACAAAAGTGTTGAGTAGATGTGCCATCCACAACTTTACCACATAGTAACTATAATAATAAAATAAATCTATAAATAGGCTAAACATTCGAGTGGTACTTAATGATATATTAATATTATTGATAATTCAAAGTTTTAATAATCTCTATTTTAGGGTTATTTTTATTTATTTTTTTTTAAGGTTATTTTTATTTTTATTTTGGCAGAAGAACTGGAATCACTAACTCTTGGCACAATAATACCTCATTGACATTAAAACTGTTGCAATAAACCGGTTCAATTCCCGAACCGAGAGCAACAACTGATCTTAACTTGAAACTTCAAATAACCTCTAATTTTATAAAAAGATTTGTATTTTTGTACTTTTTGTATGTATTGACTTAACTCAAAAACCACTGGGCCGATTTTATTCTTTCACCGTTAGAAAGGTAATTTATTTTTGAGAAACATAGGCTATATTTTTTATTACTTTTTTAATTGTCGCGGACGAAGTCTCGAGTAACAGCTAGTACGTTGTAATTCTTTACAATAAAAAAAAACAAAACACGATACTCATAACGAATATGTACCAATATCTTTTAATCAATAACTAGTCTTACTTTCTAAGAAAGGCAAATACAAATTTGAATAAAAATAGGATAATACCAAGCTAAAGCGCTGAAAGTTTCAATAGCTGTTACAAACTAGAAACGAACAAAAAACAGCTTTTCCAATAAGAGGCTTTTACTGTTTTGTTTTCCTTAAACACTACACTCGACTCTGTAGAACCTTCATAAACAGCATTATTTAACGTTTTCTCTCTAAAGAAAATTGTCGAGTTACTGACTTACTTAACTATAAAATAATATGTTTAATATTTCCATTACAGCCTTACTTTTTTAAGTTTAATAAATTTAATAAGATTTAATAAGAGGATGATAACGTTTTTAAGAGTGTTTCTGGAATGGTTGTCATGGTTACCTTACAAGAGCATGGGAAGATACTGTCTAATAATATAGCGTGCTTGAAATCATTCGCATTCTCAGTCTGAAATAGAATCAATTGTTAGCATTATTAACTGCCGTAACTATAGTCCCGTGTACAGTTGTTAATGAAAAGGGATCAATAATCATGTAACATAAAATAACTATATGAAACAAATACCAGAATATATAGACTATAATAAAATATTTAAACAAACATCATTTAAAGCTTGCGGCTTGAAATTGAGATAAAGGAATAGTTGAAACATCAATAAAACGGATATATTTTACAGGCGGAATTTTGAGGCTTTGTGAAAGTTCTTGTCAGAGCCATGCCAACGGACAATATAACGTAAAACACTTTTCCAGAAGGTTTTATAAAAACCTTTCAAAGTTAATGAAAAATAAAGTTTCTTTCTTATGGTTTTTTCTTTCCCTAAAAAATCTAACTAATATAAATTAAATTAAATGAAAAAACAAAACCGACTTCTAAATTAAAAGAAAAAAATTCTCAAAAAAACAACACACTATAAAGATCGAAATAATTCCTTGAATGTGTAAACCAAAATTGTAGTTGTTATGTCTTTTTTTACAATTATTATGATGTCGGTGTCAACTAGGGCCGGAGATATGACGTAACACGCATAAAAAATATACAGACGAATTAAGTACCTGCTTCTTTTGGGAAGTCGGTCAAAAAACAATAGAAAACTGCGTATTCCAAAATATTATTCGCGTCACGTAGAAACGGAATACATATACTGAATGATACCATTAAATTGCTCCTACTAATAATGAGTCCCTTAAAATGGTAAACTATTATATCTCTACGTGACGTTGAATTGTCCAAAGTCCCTATCATTGGTTGGGCTGATTCCAACAGCAGTTAGACGCACCTGGATAATCTCAGGTTTCTATTTGATTTGAATTTTGTACGTGTTTCAATTCAAACGATATTCCCAAAGAAATGTTTAGAATAGAATAAATAACGCTTAATATGAAAGAAACACTTCATAATATATGTATGAAACCGACTTTGCTAGGATGAACTATTAAAATAGTAATGCTTTTGTAATAAGTTCATAATTATAATATTCATAGTAATACTTTTTGTTCTTATGTACTTTTATCCAGACTCGTAGCGAATTCCCGAAACAGAAATGCTTTAATTGCTAGCAGGAGGCAGCGCGCATGGTCGAATGAACGTCAATATACACGTGAAATTGAAAATTTTCAAGCATTCTGCATCCGCCAGTTTCGGCCTCAATGTTTAACGGGTGTGAAAATCCAGGTATTTTGTAAAACTGGACAGAAATCTTATTATGTTTTAATTATGTTCATGCATTTCACTAAATTTAAAGTGGAATACATTTGTAGGCTTATTAAGTTATGTATATCTAGCTTTCGCCCGCGACTCCTTTTGCGTGGAATAAAAAAAAACAAAAGAAATAACCCTATGTTCTTCCAGATTTTATTCTACACCTATACGCAATTTCATCAAGATGCGTTTAGCCGTTTAGGTTACAAATTCTAACAAACATTCATCCATCCAAACATTCACATTTATAATATTAGTAGTTTGAGTTCAATAAAAATCACTCTCAGAGCTGTGACAAAACTGAAATAGTAATAAATAGAACGATTAATCAATTAAAGCATCTTGATCAATTTAAAAACTGTTTTTCATTTATTTCATAAAATAATTACATAAAAGTCCCCGACACATCAACTTGAATAGTCACTAGTGATCCACGTTTACAAATATGAATAAAAATGTGCGTGAAATTATAAAAATTTCTTATGTAAATAATAAAACAGTCCACTCTCTATAAAATCACTTACTCGAATAAAACTTTCCCCACACTCTTTTCTGTTTATCTTTAAAACTTCGTTCGCAAACTTTATTGTAAAGACGATATGGAAGAAATGATTTATTGATGTAAGTTATATTTTATTACTTGAAAAGTTCGGACTCTCAAGTTATTTTTTATTCCAAACTAAGAAATATTTTATCACCAATAAAAAAGTAACCAAAGTAATTTGCCAGCTTTACGTCATCGATGTAATAACATTTTCAAATATTTACCAAATCCTTTTAAATTAAGTAACATCAAACTTTTGTAAACAGATCTTATGGTAAAAGGCTTCTTGTAATGTATTCTATACATATAATAAATTGGACTGTCTGTTTGTAATATCAAAAGCAATAAAACAGATTTCGGAAGGAAGATGATTTTGCGTTGCTGATAATAAAAATCGCATTTAAAAATTTTTTATCTGTCTGTCTGTCCACAAGCCTAGTTTGTTCCGGGTAATCACCGAAACGGCTGGGCCGATTTCGATCGGACTTTCATTAAAGGGTAGCTTACATAGACGAGCATATTATAGGCTACTTTTTTATCCTAATATTTTGTGGACGAAGTTGTGGGCAACAGCTAGTTTATCATAAATTTTACAAGTAAGTTTATTTTATTCGTCGCATGGAACATTACTACACAACAGCAGTATAT